TAGCCCTCCTCTGGACCCACTCCAACAGTTCCATGTCCTTCTTCTGCTGAGGGCTCCAGAGCTGGACACGGTACTCCAGGTGAGGTCTCACCAGAGCAGAGTAGAGGCAACTAATAGCTCATTGTGGTCTCAATTTTAAAATACATTCTGGGATTAAAAAAAACCAAAACCAAACCTTGGTTTAAATAACTGTATTCTCTCCTCAAAAATACTGTAGTGGAGCTCCAAGAGAAAGCCACACAGAGACACGCTGGGGCATTATACAGATACTACTGATGTTACCACTGCTGATCCAGGACCACTGACGTGGTAACTTTTATTGCAGTGCCCAGATTCAGTGATTAATGTGAACAGACAAAAAAAAACCCAGCATCAATGGAGGGGCAACAGATATTAGTCCAGTGGTCCCGCCTCTGCAGACAACTGCTGCTGAACATCAGTAAAGCACAAACAGAAGTTTAAGACTTGCTGGTAGGAGCCATTGCTAGGCTCACGCGGATGGGAGAAAAGATAACTCAGACCACCTCAGTACAAGCCCACCTCCCTCAGCCTGTCCTCATAGAAGAGGTGCTCCAGCCCTTGGGTCATTTTAGTAGCCCTCCTCTGGACCCACTCCAACAGTTCCATGTCCTTCTTCTGCTGAGGGCTCCAGAGCTGGACATGGTACTCCAGGTGAGGTCTCACCAGAGCAGAGTAGAGGCAACTAATAGCTCATTGTGGTCTCAATTTTAAAATACATTCTGGGATTAAAAAAAACCAAAACCAAACCTTGGTTTAAATAACTGTATTCTCTCCTCAAAAATACTGTAGTGGAGCTCCAAGAGAAAGCCACACAGAGACACGCTGGGGCATTATACAGATACTACTGATGTTACCACTGCTGATCCAGGACCACTGACGTGGTAACTTTTATTGCAGTGCCCAGATTCAGTGATTAATGTGAACAGACAAAAAAAAACCCAGCATCAATGGAGGTGCAACAGATATTAGTCCAGTGGTCCCGCCTCTGCAGACAACTGCTGCTGAACATCAGTAAAGCACAAACAGAAGTTTAAGACTTGCTGGTAGGAGCCATTGCTAGGCTCACGCGGATGGGAGAAAAGATAACTCAGACCACCTCAGTGCACGCAGCCTGATGCCACCAAAGGCACCACTATGCACCCTTCCCCCAGATGGATGGTTCATTTAATTCGGAGTGTAAAATCACGCATGTATTAAAAGACTCTATCGCTTTATATAGTGACCTACATATATCCAACTGCCTTGCGAATAGTCAGATCAGGTGAACTGAAACTTCTGTACTTCCTGTTAACGTGGTGTGGTTGCACAGCAGTGACTCAGTGACATGGCAAAGTGGAATTACTGACATATCTTAAAGAAAAGCACTTGAACTGGGAACAGAATTTTGCAAGCTGGTTTATAATCCAAAATTCAGTGACAAACACTTACTCAGGTTAAGAAATAGCCCCAGCATTATGCACCTTGATTTACCCTCAGTTTTATCATGGAATAAATCCACACCATCTTAAGTAGATACGTAAAGTCATTTTGAAGGGAAACAAGGTTATTTAAGGTGAAGTACTTGTGCCCAGACACTGCCCATACACCAGCACTTCCACCGAGGCTCTGCGCTCAGCATCATCTCCCGAAGGTGAGCCCCCCGGCTGCTCGGTTATTCTGTACAACAGGGCTGCTAGAGAAAGTTCCCATGCTGTTAACAGCAGTCTTCTAGTTAGTATCCGTCCCTAGGAAGTCAAGAGCCCACACCCCAGCCCTTCCCCAGCCTGAGGTTACGCTATTGCCCATCTCCCAGGAGAGCCCCTGAGTCGGCAAGTTTCCTGTTGGAGTGGGACTGTTGTCAAGAATCTGAGATTTATGGGGCCAAAAGGACTCCAAACAAAATAGCTCCAGCCTAGCAATTAGGATGCTGTTTTCCTGGGGTTATCCATTTTTAGCCACATGTCATGTAAACTAAAAGACGTAAACAGGCTGGAGCCAGCTTCCCACTGGAAATGCAAAGAGCACTCTCCTCACGAGAGCACTGCTCTGGGAACTCAGGGACCCACTCCAGCCGGGGGGCACCAAGCCTCAGCAGGCTTCCCCTGGCCCCACAAGAGACCTTGGAGCAAGAGCTGGGCACCCAGCTGTCCAGAACAGGGCACATCTGCAGATGCCTGTATGTGTGTGTCACACCAACCCAGCGACCAGAAAGGGACCTAGGAAGGGAGAAATCCAGAAGTACAGGCTTTCCAGATCCTGTCAGCCATTCCTATTTTACTTCAAGTCTTGAAGTAGGTGCTTTGGAGACACCCCAGCACATGACAGTATTAAGCAAAGTCACCTTGAACAAAAAACTATTTTTTTAATAAATATAAACACACACACTTATATACCTACACAAACACACATACAATATGTGTGTATATCAGATATAAACACAGTTTAAAGGAAAAGCTTTTGAGGTCCACTGCCTTAGCTACCTCAGGGAAGGTAAGCTGGCATGAATGTGAATCAGTCACATTTACAAAGCTGATGCACCATTACCAGAAGACTTCATCAAGACCTCTGAAGAAAGTGAGGAGCAAGAAGCTTCAGTTGTCCTTTGCCCCTCCACTGAAGAACTGTCTGTACTAAGGAGGATCTGCTGCCACAACTGTACCAGCAACCTCCCCCTGCAAAGAGCAAGCTCACGTCAGCAAATTACACTGGAAGGCTGTGCTGCCATTCAGCAGAACCTGGACAGGCTGGAGAGTTGGGCAGAGAGGAACCTGATGAAGTTCAACAAGGGCAAGTGTCGGGTGCTGCGCCTGGGGAAGTTGAACCCCATGCACCACTGGTGGGGGCTGACCTGCTGGAAAGCAGCTCTGCCGAGAGGGACCTGGGAGTCCTGGTGGACAATGAGCTGACCATGAGCCAGCAGTGTGCCCCTGTTGCCAAGAAGGCCAATGGCATCCTGGGGTGCATTAAGAGGAGCGTGGCCAGCAGGTTGAGGGAGGTTATCCTCCCCCTCTACTCTGCCCTGGTGAGACCCCACCTGGAGTACTGTGTCCAGTTCTGGGCTCCCGGTTCAAGAAAGATGAGGAACTCCTAGAGAGAGTCCAGAGGAGGGCAACAAAGATGATGAGGGGACTGGAACATCTCTCCTACGAGGAAAGGCTGAGGGAGCTGGGCTTGTTCAGCCTGAACAAGAGAAGACTGAGAGGGGATCTCATAAACACCTACAAATATCTCAAGGGTGGATGTCATGAGGACAGAGCCAGACTCTTCTCAGTGGTGCCCAGCGACAGGACAAGGGGCAATGGGCACAAACTGAAGCATAAAAGGTTTCAGTTGAATATGAGGAAGAACTTTGAGGGTGCTGTTTATTCCCTAGATAGAGCTCCTATTGGCAACTGCCTTCCTCCTTGTTTATCTACTAGGTCTTTCCACTTAAGGTTTCCAAGATTTCCTTGACAGAAAACAATACACATTCACTGTACAGCATGCATTTGGAATTATTTATAAGGGGTGCACTTTTGAACCTTTTTTCCATGTTCAGCTTGCTGGAAAACTCAACAGGAAACATGTTTGAAGGTTGGTCTGAAACATTCAGAAAAACAAACCAGAAAACTAGATCAACTAGTCTAGAACTAGATCAACAACAATAGCAGAAAGCAGGCACAAAGAATTTTGTATCTGCCTTGAAGACTAAAAAAGAGCATCCTTCAGAAGATTTGCACTAGCATAACTCAAAAAAGGTATTTTGTCTACATTTCCCTTAAATACTTCTGTCCAAAATTAGAACATTTCAGGCAAAAGCTAAAATTTGTTAGATGGGAAATACTGTCATGATGCATGGGACACCAGGGGCTTCCATTCTTATCTCTAAATTGGGTTTGTACCCCCATGCAACAAAAATATCTCCCTCCTTTACCAGCTCTATTGTCTCCCTGGAAGAAATCAATACACATGTACCATACATGTAACAAACTCAGACCTACCCAGATGCACTGGACTCAACAGTGCAATACCGTAAGGAAAACTGGTACACATGCTGTTATATCCATGACTTACAGGCCTCAAAATCAGGCCTGCACAAAAACTCTGACAGACCTGACGAATAGCCAGGAATCCTAGAAGAACAAAAGATGTAAAAAGAGGACACGGTTCATAAAACTCAAGTTACAGGTACCACAGAGGAGAGGTAATGGATGATGAGAGCTCTTGGCCATGAGAACCATGAGAATGTGTTGAATATGAACACCACCGACAGAGGACACCCAAATTAACCCACCCGCAATACACTGCAGCAACATTCCCTCAAATATTTAAATTTCCTCCCAACAAAAGTATTTCCATTTTTTAGCCATTAAGTTTTCCACTATAAAACTATTATTTTAGAGGAAAACTGGCAGTTTTCATCAAGGCCGTCACACACCAATACAGTTTCCCTTTCAGCAGAAACTTTCTGACCAGTTATAACTTACATTTTAAGTGCATGCCACAGAATAATCCCAGAAGTCCTCCAGATAAAATAAAATAAAATACCTTGATTTGTTTCAAAAAACTCCACTGGCAGGAAGCTACTGCAACGCGAAATTTCTGGAAGTAGCGGACACTGTTTTCTAACGTGGTCAGTACTGGATAGCACTCACTCTTTAAATCAACACCTCATTTCTTGGGGATTGGCCCTTGGGGCGTTGCAGCCTGTGTAGCAGCCATCTGCTCTGGGCCACGATTCCAAGTATCAACATACCTAGCTTTAGTAACTTGTTCTTTCTGAAGATCAGTGCTGAGGTAGCGTCTTTCAAAAGTCCATAGATGTTCCCGCTGAACAGGTGAAACAGAACTAAACAGAGAAGTGCCAACATAATAGGCTCTCCCAATTTATCTGGCATAACTTGAACAGAAACAAATCAAACAACGTTTTTTATTTTCAGTAATATGTGTACATAAGTGTGTACAAAATCGAAATGTAAGCAAATGTACAAAATTCAAATTGTTCTTGTATAAAATTTCCAAATGAAGTAATACTAAAACTTGAAGTCACATAAGAAGAACCAAGCTGCCTGCTAGCCACCTATTTCATCTACTTCATGTTAACTTATTTGCATCACTTGGAAAGATAAAACAAGCTGTCAGCATAAATCACAAACATTTTTCACTGTGACAATCACAACAGTATGCCAGTCTCCCAGCAACAGGCAACTACGAGGAGAGGTAATCAAAATGTCAAAGTCAAGAACAAACATTCTTCTGAGTTTACTTTAAAAGATCAACTACTCCTAAATACCTGAGTTGGAAGTGGGGCTGGGAAAGGCCACTGTTTAAGGTGGCTGAGGTTGCTGTTTCTAGAGAAGTTGAAATTAACACTAAACACGGGTCTTGCCCACAAGACAAGTGTTCCTATCGGTACATCTGACTGCGGTACTGTACACATTGAACTCTAATAGTCATCCTGGCAAAAAAAATGTGAACAATGAACAAATGCTAATGCTTAGTGTCCTTTTCTCAAACTCCTGTATGCTCCGTGTTAGCTTCATTAAGAAATAGTAAGATTTTTTTGGTAACAGGTTAAAAGCAGTAAGTAGCAACTTTGTGTTACAGCACTGACAATTCACACAGAAACTTAAACAAATATACCACAGTTGCCTTTAAGACAGCTGGTTAATATCAAGCAACTGAGGTATTTGGTGAATGATGGTGTTGCCCCTGAATACTGTCCCAGGTCATACTGCATGACTGCAGCAGAATACCTTGAAAAGTAACAAACAGGTTGCATAAAAAATTATCTCACTTTCAGGAGGTGCCACTGTAAAAAAAAAATAAAACCCCACAGGGCTGCTGTGACATAGTGAATTAAGACAAAACTCTCGGATATAAAGGACCTACATTTTCAACACTGGTTGGAATATTGTAGTTTTAAATTGGGATGGCAAGTCCTAAAAGCTGGTCCATATTAGCGATAAGTGAAAGGATGCTGCATGACATACACAATCATGATTTTTTAAAATGTACACTACAAACTATAAAAAATAAATCATTTTTCAGAACAGTTTACAGAACAGTTTCTATACAACAGGTGGGAGAGATTATGTCTTGCCCCAGAAATCTTTCCTCTTCTGAGCTCGTTCCAGTATCTGAGATGCTAGTGAGCTAGATGCTGCAGAGCGAGCAGAAATCTGAGACAACCGGTCATCTGTGGGGAAAGCAGCAAGGGAAAGA